GGGGAATCAGTGCAGGGTTTTGAGGCAGGGAGAGAAACGAAACTTCACAAGAGAGGCGTGTGCAGTAATCGAGGTTGGGTTTGTTGCGAATATGGAAACCGATCTAATCTAATGACATGATGAAATTAATAAATAGGCATGCTAGCTCCTCTTGTAATCTACGTCGGAATTTGGTTTCCTTCTGGCGTTTCTCTTCTTGATGGTGGCTTTCGGGTAGACAGAGAGATTATTCTTTCTTGTATTCGTTGAGAGGATCGATGAGTGTAATTCTCAAGTAATAAAATCCCGTGCATCTTCGTGGACGTAGGCAATTTTCCGAATCACATAAATCTATGTGTTTCCATTGTGGTTTCTTTTTGCGAATTTTTGTCAATCCGGTTTTTCACTTTATTGTCGTTGTTTTTCACAACTGGTAGCAGAGCTCCAGTTCAGATCTGAGGGACAGTGATGGTCGGAGATGATGTGATGGCATAGGGACATCGGGAATCGAGAAGTTTAATGACACATATTTTGATTATTGAATGATGCAGATAGAGGACTACCTCTATAAGAAGAAATATTATCTTCCGTTACTGAGAAAACAATCGGAAAAGATGAATTCTCTGCCAGTGAATCCAATTTGGGAGCTGACAGAACTTCCATCAGGGAGGAATACATTGCACAACAAGTACTGTACCTGATAATGACTGCGCTTAATGACAGTAAGAGGTACAAGGCTATACTTGTTGAAAAGGACTTTCAACATAGGCAGGATATTGCCCACGTAGTGAGAGTTGTAATCAGATACAGGAGTAACTCAGGAAAAAACTTGGAGGTACAAGATTATGTTGACGTTGATATTTGACGTTGATATGTCAACTAAGGGTGTTACTCTTAAAAAATTGAAGTTGTGCTCAACTCCAGTTGGTCTTCTAACATGAAGAAATGAGGCTTTGAGTTGCATAGATAAAAGATATCACGTTTGAAGAAAATGGTGACGCAGCTAGTGGATGAGTAGTCAGTATATCAGTCTCCGAGTGGAAGATTTGTTGCGAATATGAAAACCGATCAACTGTTCAAATTGACAT